AGATGCATAGAGACGCTTAAGTTGTTCAAAACCTAATAGTTTAGCATCAAGAGTAGTGATTAAGGCGTACCTTCGTGACAATGCGTCAGCAACAACATTGTCTTTACCTTTTTCGTACTTGATGACATAAGGGAATGTCTCAATGAATTTGATCCATCGGCCATGTCTTTTGTTGAGCTTTTTCTGGCCTTTCAAATGTTTGAGGGATTCATGGTCAGTGTGAATGACAAATTTTTTGGGCCAAAGGTAGTGTTGCCACGTTTGAAGTACTCGCACCAAAGCATAGAGCTCTTTATTGTAAGTAGGATAATTCAGCATTGCTCCTTCGAGTTTTTCACTGAAGAAGACTACGTGTTTCTTGTCTTGCATGAGTACTGCTCCGATTCCTACACCAGAAGCATCACATTCAATATCAAAAGTCTTGAGGAAATCAGGCAAAACAAGTACTGTTGCATGGGTTAGTTTATACTTTAGCGTTTGAAACGCCTCTTCTTGCGCTTGTTCCCATATGAATCCCACATCTTTCTTGATGATCTCGGTTAGAGGTGCGGCCAATGTGCTGAAATCTTTCACAAATCTCCTAAAGAATCCTGCAAGGCCGTGGAAGCTCCTCACTTGTCCAACCGTCTTAGGGCTCGGCTAGACTTTGATGGCCTTTACCTTCTTCTCATCGACTCTGATCCCATCTGCACCTACAACAAATCCTAGAAACACAAAATTATCTGTGCAAAAAGTGCATTTCTTAAGATTAGCAAATGGCTTTTCCTTCCTAAGCACTTCTAAAACAGACTTCAAATGTTCGATATGCTCCTCTAGGTTTTTGCTATAGATCAGAATTTCATCAAAATAAACGACTAAAAACACGCCTATAAATGCTCTAAGGACATGATTCATCAGTCGCATGAAGGTGCTAGGTGCATTTGTTAACCCAAATGGCATTACTAACCATTCATATAACCCATGTTTAGTTTTAAAAACGGTTTTCCACTCATCACCCTCCTTCATCCAAATTTGATGATATCCACTTTTGAGGTTTATCTTAGAAAATATGCTATACCCATGCAGTTCATCTAACATGTCATCTAATCTAAGAAAAGGGTGTTGATACTTCACCGTAATGTTGTTGATTGCTCTACAATCAACACACATGCGCCAGCTGCCGTCTTTCTTAGGCACAAGTAGGACAGGTAACGCGCAAGGACTCAGGCTTTCTCTTATGTACCCTTTCTCCAATAATTCATTAACTTGGCGCTGTAACTCTTTAGTCTCCCACAGGGTTGGCTCTATAAGCTGGACGGTTTGGAAGAGAAGCTCCAGGCATGAAATCTATTTGATGTTCGATTCCTCTAATGGGAGGCAAACCCTTTGGGTTCTCTTCAGGGAAAACGTCCTCATAGTCCTGCAAAAGGGATTTCATTTCACTCAGTATAACCGGTGTCAGGTTAGCTAAGCTCGTAAGAGCTTCCTTAAACACAAATAAAAGCATAGACTGATTAGAAAATAAGGCTTTCTTAACTCTCCAGGCTCTTAGAAAGAAATTGGATGGTTTTTTGGCCGACTTTTCCCTCTGTTTCAGTTGTACTTGATCCTGGTAAACTTCTGGAGGCGTCATGGGCACCAAGGTAGTTTTCCTGCCTTTGAAAACAAAAGAATGCCGATTAGTGTATCCATCATGTATTACATTTCGATCGGATTTTCATGGCCTGCCAAGAAGAATGTGTCCTGCTTCCATAGGCAACAGATCGCAGAGTATCTCATCTTCATATTTCCCAATGGTTAAAGGTACTCGGACTTGATGATTCACTTTCAACTTGCCATTTTTATTGAGCCATTGTAGTTTGTAGGGTCTCAGATGTTTCTCCATCTTCAGACTGAGTTTCTGAACCATCACTTCACTGGCTACGTTTGTGCAACTTCCCCCAACTATAATAAAACTGCATACTTTTCCTTGGACGATGCACCTGGTGTGGAACAAATTGTCCCTTTGTTCCTGCTCGGCATTTTTGGATTGAAGACTAAGAGATCGTCTAGCCACAAGTAAATTCCAATGAGCTGGGAGCTCTTCATGATCTGTTGCAGCTTCGGCCTCTAATTCTTCTTCATCAGATGCTATGTCACCATTATCCAAAAAGATCATGTTCTTCCGGTTTGAACATTCATTCACATAATGCCTTCTGCCGTGGCACTTAAATCACTTGACATCTCTTGATCTTGGGACATTAGTCTCCGTTTTTCCTTTATGATCTTGAGGAGTTGGATACGCCTTGGTTTCGACTTTTGGTATAGCAATCTGCTTTCCTTCTCTCTGAAAAGATCCTGCCCTCTCTTCTTTCTGATAAGTAGGTTTTGTAACCGTTGCTCCACTTCCATAGTTTGTCTTAGTGGGAACTCTCCTTTTGAGTTGTTGCTCGATCAGTATGGCTATATGTAGCATTTCTTCCACCTCTACGTAGTGTTGCATCTGAATTTCTCGATTTAAACCTCCCAAGAATCTCGACATGGTGGCTTCCCTGTCTTCAGTTATGTCGGCTTTGAGCATGAGAGTGTCCATCTCTTAATAATAGTCCTCAACAGATCGGTTTCCTTGAGTCAGCCTTCTAATTCTTTGATGAAGTTCTTATGATAGTGACTAAGTGCAAACCTTTTCCTCATGATGGTCTTCATCTCAGTCCAACTTTCAACCGGATATTCACCATTTCTTCTTCTAGATGTAACTAACTGATCCCACCAGCTGAGAGCGTAATCATAGAACTCAGTGGCTGCAACTCTCACGCGATTGATCTCAGTATAGTATTGGCAGTTAAACACTAACTCAATCTTTTTCTCCCACTCTAGGTAAGCATCAGGGTCATTCTTCCCATGAAATGGAGGAATCCGAAGCTTAAGCCTTCCAAAACTGTCTTGAGGTTGAGCCCTTTCCTCTCTTACTCGTCTATATCGTTGGCGATTACTCCTTAACGAGCTACTTTCTTAGCTGTAATATTCTTCTGCGGCTTCATCTCTTGCTGGTCTGACTTGCTCTCTAGCCCTCTCAGGAGATCGCTCAAGGTTTCTCCTTCTAGTGTCTCGGTCAGAGTTTTGATGTTGGATCTCTTGCCGAAACTCTTCGAAATGAGTGGCCATCAGCTTTCTCATCTTGGCCATCATCGCTTCCATTAATAGTTTGTTGTTATTGCTGTTAGATCCTTCATGATGATCAGACATCTTTTCCTGCAACCAACCCAAAACAGATCACTAGCAGCAATCCTTTGAGTTCTTACAAAATGACTCTTCGTGTCCCTCAAGCAATCATGAAACCAGATCTAACAATTTGAATTTGAAACGTCACTTTTTAACAGGTTAATCACTTAGGATGAATGATGATGATTGATCAGATTTTAAGACAGAACAAAACGATCTATAAATTTGTGATGCAGCGATCAAGTTTTGTTAAGATCTAAACTAATGATTATGTCAAGCTTTAAATCGAATCTTCTTGAACGAAAAAAAAATATGAATCAAAACACATAAACAGATTAGACACAACCTGATTCACGTTGATCCTTCCTTAGAGTGGCTCTGATACCACTTGATACGTTTCTCCTTAGATCGTCACTCTAAGTACTGGATCTGATTGATGATGTAAAGAGCTGGTTCGGATTTGAGATAAGGAATGATGGAATGAAAGGTCACACAAAGGCTGCAAAAGGCCTTTGATATACCAGGGTGATTCAATGGATATGACACACCAAAGAATCGGTTGCTTGAAAGATATAACACACTCACAAGCTAAGATGTTCAGAAGATCAAATGATCTAACTTACAAAGAGTTTTTGATAGAAAAGATAGATGGTTTAACAAAGGAGCGTACAAGAGTTTAAAAAGAAGGAGAACAAGTCTGTGACAGCCAAGACCTGTCTCGGAAACAACTAAAAATAATAAAGAATAAGTTTGAACAAGAAAGAAACTCTTCTTCTCCATTTGGCCGAGTCTTCTCTTGCTGGGCCTTTGTTGGATCAGCAGATGGGGATATGATGTGATCCGTTTGTCTCATTAAAAACCTCTCTTTGGAAAACCTATTGGGAAAAAACCAAAGGAGAGGGAAAAAGAGTGCAAACAGGTCACATGCCCACTTTCTGATCTTCTTGAGCCTGTATAGAAACCAATGTGGTTTGTATAACGTCTTCTCCCTCCTGGCTCAAGACATTAGCTTGTCTGTAACTGGTTCTAAGCATAGCTCTGATAGCTTTCTTGAATTTCTTGGACATTGATCGAGTCATTGGACCGGCTGGCATCATCAAAGATTCTTCTTCCTAAAGTCCTCCTTGCTCTTCTAGTGCAACTCCTTTAGCTCCAATTTCCAAGTCCTCTATGCTGTCTATGATCGCATCATGTTGTCTAGCTTAAGCTCAAGGTTGTCTTGGGCGATTTTTTCATGCACCTCTGTCATTTGTCTCTCGATAACTTTGGTGGCTTGTGAACCATCTGTGATTTGTGATAGCTTCACGTCCATGCTATCAACATGAGTGGAAAGTGCTTCAAACTTACCAGTAAAGTCAGTGTACTAGCTGTCCACTTTCATATTCCTATCGTCAGCTTATTTTTGCAGCTTCATAAGAAGTGCTTGCATCATAAGCTCGACCTTGTTGTCTTGAGAAGTTTGGGATGATTTTGGAGCAGATTGGAGAATCATATAGGTGTGCGCTTGTGCTGCAAGTTGATGATTAATCTTAGCTGCATTACCTGCTTCACAGACATTGACAGAACGTTGCAGATTTTTGAGAAACAATTTCACCGTAGCTAGTACTTCTTCAATTTCCTTACGATCATGAGAAGTGGAACATGATGTTCTTCTATAATCGGGACAATTGTTTCTGCTGCTCGCAGCAAGATTATTAATCAAGACGTAAGCTTCTTCCACAGTCCTTATCATGAAATTTCGATTGCTTGCCACATTTAAAGGTGACTTAGATGTCCATTCAAGACCTCTATAGAAGGTATTCAAGATGCATGTCTCTGTAAAACCGTAGTGGGGACATTCTCTTATATACCCTTTATAGCGATCCCAAGCTTCATGGAAAAATTCACCTTTTTGTTGGAACTTATAATTCTTGTCTCTAAAGAGGCTTGATCTAGAGGTGGTGTAGAAGTGATTAAGGAACGCAGCTTTGCATTCGTCCCATGATCCGAATGAACCAGGAGACAAGGACTGTTGGGGTCGGTTTCCACCTCGACTGGTTTAACCATCTCCAAAATGATTAAGTATTCATAAGATGATCTTAGACCACGTTCGGGCCGAACCCCATCCTAACGAGAGTGAGCCGAGCCCTGTTTGGACACAAATGGTCTGAGCCCTACCTGAATGCAAGTGGGCCGAGCTGTGATGAGGATAAGTGAGCCGCGTCTTAGTGGGCTTAACCGTCACCATTTGAAGGACGAGCTGAATTGGGTCAAGCCGCTCTCCAAGAAACATGGGCCGAGCTAGGTACAGAGAGGAGATGGGCCGAGCCGGGTCTTTTTAGGTGGGCCGAGACAGGTGGTAATCAACGACTAGCAGGCCTAGCTATGAAGGATGAAGCCCACGTAAGAACCCTAAGTGAAGTGTAAAGGTGGTGGCCTCGCGCGGCCACCACCTAGAATCTCTTCCGAGATTCTCGGCTAAGCGATTTATAAAACTAGTATAAATAGTCAATGTATCTAATTCATTATGCAATTTTGGCAACCCTAAACAATAAGACTAAACACTTTTCACAGCAATAAAATCCTCTTTTGATCTTTGTGTTCTTGTGATAAACCCTAGAAATTCTGGATCCCTCTAAGTTTCTTTACAAGTTTTGATTGTGCGAGTTTTGGCTCGCTTAATTTGGCGCCGTATGTGGAGAATCGAAATCTTCTTACTCGAAAATCGAAAGATCCTAAGATCTGAAGAGTATGGCGAGTAACATCTCTGATGACGAGAACACCAACAATACCAACAACAATGGCACGGAAAAAGATGCTCCCCCATCAAGTAAGAAAACAACAACGACCAAAGCCTAGGACGAGATGCGGAACATGCTGACCACGTTGATGAAGAAAATTGAGGAGCAGGATAAGAGGAACGAGGAGATCACAGAGCGACTTGACGCTATAACAACCGAAAGACGGCATCCGACATGGAGAGCCAGGATCTCTGATCCGATAGATGGAGCTAGGAGACGCTTTAACTTCTCGACACATGTAGGAGCAACCGGTAAGTGTGCGAGAAATCCCATGGCTCCACCGATGTTTCACCCCCTTGACAAACAAACTCCAGCAGCAACTAGAATCAACATAACCGAGCCGCCCCCACTTCGTCAGAGCTCCAGACGGCTAGGCGATGAGGACGAAACTAACGTAATCGACGTGGATGCCCAGCAGATCGATGGTACCAGAGACCCGCACCAAAACAGCTTGGCACGGCGCATAAGTCGCGAAGAACTCGCTTTGGCACTTAATGGTATCCAAATCGACGGATGCACCGACCCGACCCACGACAACAATCCGACTGGGGAAGAGGAGAACCTCCGATGGATCGAGTAAGCGGAGTACGGGGACGAGCCGAGGAGAGAATATCAGGAGTGACCAGTGCTAGACCTAAGAGGTGGAAGAAATCCGAGCCTCCATGGCTCGGAGAGTTTATGAGATCCGCGCCGTGAAATAAGCGCCGCGCTTGAAATTGATGGAATGCTTGAAGAAACTCAAAGGACTCCATTTACAATAGAGGCTAGAATTCCCGAGCCGGAAAAGGTTAGAATCCTTTTTTAAGAAGGAACCACCGATCTGAAAGTGCATTTCACAGCTTTCTGCACAGCAATGAGACGAGCCTTCACAAGGAACGCAGCTAATCTAACTGATCAGGAGAGAGATGTTGGTTTTTGCTTACTATTCGTAGAACACCTCAAAGGAGCTGTGTTGGAGTATTTAGGCAAGAACAAAATTCAATCAATAGCTTCCAACAGCTCTCTGCTTTATTTCTGAATCAGTACTCGATGTTCATGGACCGAGGAACTTCCGATGTCAATCTGTGGACGCTATCTCAAGGACCAAACGAGCCACTGCAGGATTACATGGCAAGGTTCAAGGCTGTCGTATCCAAAGTAGAATGAATAAGCGATAAAGCCGCCCTCGAAGCCCTAAAATGATCTATGTGGTATAAATCCGAATTTCGAAGGGAGATGGCGCTGAATACGCTGCAAACAATTCCGGATGCCCCACATCAATTTTCGGACTTCGTGGTGAACGAAGAAGAAATGAAAAATTTAAACGAGCAATATGAAGCGACGAATGCAGCGACCCGGAGCTCGACTCTGACGCGACCCGCAAAAAAACAAAATCGCGCAAATAACGCAACAGTACAGAGTTCGGAAGAACCAATAACCAGTGGTGCCCACAACTACCAAGTAGGCGCTGGCCGCGGAAGAGGCTAGCCACGCAGCAACACTTTAGTGAGAAAGCCCAGAAAGCGTACTGCGAATACCACCAAACTCACGGACATTCAACAGCACAATTCCGAACCCTCAGAGCCAAACTCGCAGCCAAAACGGCAGCCGGAGAGCTCCAAAACGTAGTTAGTCTCAAAGCCCGCGAACGAGCTCTCCAAACTCTTATGCTTTTACAGATCACGGAAATCCGCGAAACGCACACTGAACCAGTATATATGATCTGGTAGTCTCAGTGTTCATAGACGAATCACATCCGGAGAGGTGTGTAGAAATTGGAACCAAACTTTAAGAACTTTTGAAAGATGACCTCATTTTCTTCCTCAAGGAAAACATTGGCACTTTCGCTTGGAGTACAGAAGACATGTCGTAAGCATCGACGTATCTTGTCACGAGCTGAACATCGATCAAACTTTCAAACCAGTCAAACAGAAGAGGAGGAAGCTCGGTCCCGAACAGAAAAAAAGGGTCAATGACGAGGTAGAAAGACTGATCAAAGTAGGCTCGATTGCCATGGCAAAGTATCCGGACTGGCTCGCAAACTCCGTGGTTGTGAAGAAGAAGAACGGTAAATGGATAATTTGCGTGGACTTCACGGATCTCAACAAGGCGTGCCCCAAGGACAGTTTCCCATTGCCGCATATCAATCGACTTGTACAAGCAACAGCAAGAAATAAGCTATTATCATTCTTGGATGCCTTCTCCGGATATAACTAGATCTTCATGCATCCTGATAATAGAGAAAAAATGGCGTTTATAACCGACAGCAGAATATACTTTTACAAGGTGATGCTTTTCGACCTCAAGAACGCCGGGGCAACTTATCAACGGCTCGTTAATAGGATTTTTGCAGACCAGCTAGGCAAAACCAAGGAGGTATATATCGACGACATGTTGGTCAAATTGTTGGAGGAAAAGGACCACGTCGTACATTTACGGAAATGTTTCAAGCAACTGAATAAGCACAACATGAAGCTAAACCCAGCGAAGTGCCGGTTTGTCGTGACCTCGTGCGAATTCCTCGGCTATCTGGTGACGCACAGGGGTATTGAAGAAATCCCCAAACTGATAAACGCATTAATCGAGATGCCATCTCCAAGGACGAAGTGAGAGGTTCAACGGTTCACAGGAAGAATTGCCGCGCTGAATCGGTTCATCTCTCGATCAATTGATAAGTGTCTCGTCTTTATGATACTCTTCACGGAAACAAGAAATTCGAATGAGACGACAGACGCGAGACAGCTTTTCAGGAATTGAAGACCTATTTGGCGAGCCCACTGGTTTTAGCAAAACCAGTAGCTGGAGAATCTCTTTTCCTTTACATTTCAGTATCCACAACGACCGTTACTGGAGTGCTGATAAGAGAAAATGTGGGAAACAAAAGCCAATCTTCTACATTAGCCAGACGTTGACCAACGACGAGACTCGTTACTCCCAAATAGAGAGGGTCGCCCTAGCCGTGGTGATATCGGCTCGGATATTGAGACCTTATTTCCAGTTCAGCTCGATTGTAGTACTCGCAATACTGCCATTACGCTCGATCCTGCACAGCCTGAGCCAATCATGCAAGCTCACCAAATGGGTAGTTGAACTCATCGAGTATGACATCGAATACCATAACAGATCGCCCGCAAAGTCTCAAGTTCTCGCAGACTTCCTCATCGAGCTTCCCCCCGATGCAACAGATGAATCAACCTCAGAAGATATTTAGATGTTGCATGTTGACGGGTCGTCATCAAAACAAGGCTCGGGAATAGGAATTCGCCTCACATCACCAACGGGAGAAATCTTAGAACAATCTTTTCATCTCAAGTTCCACGCTTCGAACAACAAGGCGGAGTACAAAGCAATAATTACTGGTCTACGATTGGCACTCGGAATCGAGGTTCGGAAGATAAGAGCTTTCTGTGATTCCCAACTGGTAGCGAATCAATTCAACGAGAGTACGAAACAAAAGATAGAAGAATGGAAGCCTACCTCGGGATCGTTCAAAGCCTGGTAAAACAGTTCGATGAATTCGAACTCACGCGCATACCCCAAGGCAAAAACACTTCGGCAGACGCTCTAGCAGTCCTCACCTCGTCTTCAGATCCGGATTGAAGAAAGACAACACCCGTCGAATTTATCGAACAACCAAGCATAGAAGTGGTGGAAGGAGTTCGTCTGATTAACCCCCCAGAAGAAGAACCCGACCCCAAAAACGGGGATGAGGCGACAGCAATGGCGAAGGATGCCTCGTCAGCCGAACCGGAGTACAGGTGCGACAAGGAATGGCTCAGGGCGATTCGCGTCTACATCGCTCACGGCAAAATCCCATCGCTCTGATTCCAATTGAGAACTATTAACAAGCAGCGGCTCCGTACTACAACAAGAACGTTCGAGGCCGGAGATTCAAGTAAGGAGAGCTCGTCCTCAGGAAAGTATTCCAGAACACCGCCGAGAGGAACGCAGGAAAGCTCGGAGCAAATTGGAAAACACCCTACAAGATCACTAAGGTGGTTTGTTCAGGGGTCTATGAACTCGCAACGATGTCTGGTGAAGCAATCCTGAGATCGTGGAACGCCATGCATTTGAAAAAGTACTATCACTAAGGACACACAACGACTAACATGAACTATGGGACAGTTTAATCCCTGCAAAGAATACGTAGGCAGCCCGTCTTCAGACG